CATTTGAACTCCCTCTCAGCTAAAGGTAATGAAACCTAAAAGAATATATTAGGTGATTGCTTAAGAGGACTTGGATAATTTGATGAAGCTATAATCTTATATGATCAAGCATTATCAATAAATTCAAAACATTTGGATTCTTTGTATGGAAAAGGTATATATCTTATAAATCCATAAGGCGATTGTCTAAGAGAGTTGGGTAAATATAATGAATCTTTAAAATGGTTGAATTAAGCTCTTTCCATATACCCTTAAGATTACTTTTCACTTTAATCTAAAGGTAACTAATAAAAATATCAACAAATTTACAAGGGGTGTGCCTACAAGAATAATAGAACTTTTCTGAGGCCTTAAAATGTTTTGAGCTAGCTTTGAAGATTTCACCTTTTGATCAATTTAATTAAATAAGAAAAAGTAATCATTTTTATGATTATCAGATAAATGTGAATTATCCTTAAAGAAGAATTGAGTAAATAAGTACATATAAAACTATTAATTAATATTCTTTCATATCAATTACTTCAAAGATTCCCTTCAAGAAAATAAAAAAAACTCACATTAAATATACTTGTCCACTAAGCATTAATCATCATCGGTTTCAAACTTATCAATTAAATTAAAGTTTAAAATTTAGGGATTTAATTCTTTGACCCAAAATAAGATCAAAATTCATTCTTAAACTCATGCTAAATACTACTTCATTTTTGCTTTCTCAAACTAAACTATTTGAAGTATCTTTGCATAAAATTAATTAAAAAATGTTTATTAATCATTAGCTATTTTTTTATTTAATGGAATAATATTATTTTTATAGGAGACTTAGAATGAAAATATATTTGATTGAATTTTTTTTCTGAAAAATATTTGTTTAACTTTACACACAAATACAGATATCATTCTATCCTAGTTTCATCAGTTATTTTATAGGTGGGGGGCTTCAGCTATGATCTAAAGGCAGACTTTCTCCCTTCCCATTTTGCTTATGTACTTAATAACTAAATTATTAAATATTAAAAATGAGGCACTGGTTTGATGTTTTGATTAATTAATAATTCGTTAGGGTTAAACTATGATGATTGAAAAATATGCTACTATCATCCAATTTGGCTTATGTTGCATAATAGTTTAAATTATTATAACCCACTATTTAATAAATTTGATTACTGCAGTTTAAGTTAGATATCTATGTTTAATTTACTGAAATTTGATTAAAATGATATAAAGTATGTACTCAAACACAAATAGAATTATTATTATTTATTATATTAATAAAAAATGAATAATTATTTTAATTAGAATTTTTTCAATAAATAATGATGATATATACATTTTTAAAGCTCAATAACTACTTTATGTTTAATTATTACTACTTATAAGGATCTATTCAAAAAATAATGGATCAATACTAAGCTGCTTAATCAGGTCTTAAATTAAATGAAAAAACAAAAGATCCTAAATATCTTAAACCTTTTAAAAAGGAAAGTTCAATAATGATTAATCTAATTTTCTGATCAGGAAATCAGATTTTTAGGCACCTTTTTTATTGGATAAATTATGTTATTTTATTTTCTATATTTATGTATCCAAGGCTTGCTTCAAATTTACTAAGAACTACCTAAAGATTTTTGTATCCAGATAACTGAGGAACTATAGGAAAATAAAGGAGTTTTACAAAAAAGCTCATATCATCTAGTTGAGCTACGATTTATAGTGAAATTTTAATGAATATGATTAGTTAACATCAATTATGAGATGAGATGATTGCTAAAAGGATTACCTTGTCTTGATGATTGGTTCCTCTTAATAAAATTCATCCAGTTATCTTTCTTATTCTGGGATAATTTAGACCTATTATGGTCATCTGTCATTTTATTAAATTAATTGAGACTCACTAACTATTTAGGTTTAAATAAATTTTTCTGAAAAAATTAACTCTTATAAAGTTGGCTTTTGCTTAGATAACCATAATTGATGTTCTTTGCATACAATTATGTAAGTGGGATAAATTTTAATTTTTTTTTTATAAATTATAATTGGGTTTTATTCAAATTAAAATAATTTCGATTAAATCTTATTTCATTTTTCATTTAGAATTAAAGAATTCATTTAANCACACAAATACAGATATCATTCTATCCTAGTTTCATCAGTTATTTTATAGGTGGGGGGCTTCAGCTATGATCTAAAGGCAGACTTTCTCCCTTCCCATTTTGCTTATGTACTTAATAACTAAATTATTAAATATTAAAAATGAGGCACTGGTTTGATGTTTTGATTAATTAATAATTCGTTAGGGTTAAACTATGATGATTGAAAAATATGCTACTATCATCCAATTTGGCTTATGTTGCATAATAGTTTAAATTATTATAACCCACTATTTAATAAATTTGATTACTGCAGTTTAAGTTAGATATCTATGTTTAATTTACTGAAATTTGATTAAAATGATATAAAGTATGTACTCAAACACAAATAGAATTATTATTATTTATTATATTAATAAAAAATGAATAATTATTTTAATTAGAATTTTTTCAATAAATAATGATGATATATACATTTTTAAAGCTCAATAACTACTTTATGTTTAATTATTACTACTTATAAGGATCTATTCAAAAAATAATGGATCAATACTAAGCTGCTTAATCAGGTCTTAAATTAAATGAAAAAACAAAAGATCCTAAATATCTTAAACCTTTTAAAAAGGAAAGTTCAATAATGATTAATCTAATTTTCTGATCAGGAAATCAGATTTTTAGGCACCTTTTTTATTGGATAAATTATGTTATTTTATTTTCTATATTTATGTATCCAAGGCTTGCTTCAAATTTACTAAGAACTACCTAAAGATTTTTGTATCCAGATAACTGAGGAACTATAGGAAAATAAAGGAGTTTTACAAAAAAGCTCATATCATCTAGTTGAGCTACGATTTATAGTGAAATTTTAATGAATATGATTAGTTAACATCAATTATGAGATGAGATGATTGCTAAAAGGATTACCTTGTCTTGATGATTGGTTCCTCTTAATAAAATTCATCCAGTTATCTTTCTTATTCTGGGATAATTTAGACCTATTATGGTCATCTGTCATTTTATTAAATTAATTGAGACTCACTAACTATTTAGGTTTAAATAAATTTTTCTGAAAAAATTAACTCTTATAAAGTTGGCTTTTGCTTAGATAACCATAATTGATGTTCTTTGCATACAATTATGTAAGTGGGATAAATTTTAATTTTTTTTTTATAAATTATAATTGGGTTTTATTCAAATTAAAATAATTTCGATTAAATCTTATTTCATTTTTCATTTAGAATTAAAGAATTCATTTAAAATGGTGTTTGTGTATCCTTTTTTTTCAGAATTTGAACACTAAATCTAAGGTTATGGAGCAATTCAAAACTAAACTCTTTTTATACCAAATTAATTGGGTTAATCTTAAATTCTTAACCTTTTTTATTTTAATAATAATAATTGCCTTTTACAATCATCATAGATTTCTCTATCACATCTTATATTGTATGAGCTAAAAGTCTTTGTTTTATTGACGAAAAGTTTAGAAAATCCTGCATGCAATAGAACAAACCTTTTTACCTCAGATTTAGCTTTTAATGCAAGAATCTTAGAATTTTCGTAAAGAAAAAGCCCTTAAGTTCTTCATTATTCATTAATCTAAAATATAAATTTCATTTTTTAAGTTTTGAAGATATAAGTAAATATATATGGGATTTAATCTACAAAAGATTTTTTGTTAATAAAAAATTTTTTTTAACACCTCATCAAGCGGTAAGAAATCATTGAAATTTTTTAAGAGAACTCCGTTCTTTTTGGCTAATCAGTAATATTACCTCGAGATTAAAAAAAGAAGATGGAATAAGAGAAATTTGAATAGACATGATTAAATGAAATCATCATCTTTCTAGAATATACCTTTGATACAAACTTAGAATGAACAGCAAAATTTAAAAAAACAATAAGCATTGAAATGAATATGTGTCAATATAAAACAATATTATAGATAATGAAGGACCTTTTTGAGTTATTTTTTTATTTTTAAAAGAATAAATGGAATGCTTTTGGTTAAAATGAAATATCTTAAATTAATTAGATCAATAAAAATAGCATAAGCTGGTTATTTATGGAGCAATTAAATTAATTAATTTATTTTAAACTAAAAAATAATTAAAGGTTATATTCTGATAAGCTAATAACAATTTATTATTATGGTCTCAATCAATATTCTAATTTTCAACTACTTAAATGATCTCATATACAACATCAAAGAATTTCCATCTCAATGTAATTAACACTGAAAGAAATTTCAATTGAAATGATAACAATAATAACTATAATTATAAAAGTTAAAAAGAAATTAAGGTTCAAAAGAAATTTTTATAAAAATAGTAATTAATGTATTTTATTTTTAATAAGAAAATAGAAAATATAAAAGAATCTAAATTTAAATGAAATTGATCTTAATGCCCTATTATATCTTGAACTTAGATAATTTATTAATAGCTTAATAATTTAGAAATTAATTTAAAGATTATAATCTAATTTCTGAAACTTAGAACTTTCAAATAAACAAAATCTTGGATAATTATTTCTTTAGTGAGATTTCCAAACTCGAAAACTAAAATGTAACTAAGATTAAATTTATATGATTTGATAAGAATGTATTTGTATTCCTTATCTATTATTGATTGATTATAGAAATTTAATTCTAAATTTTGGCTTCTTTTTGCTGATCCAAGTTATAGAGTATTTAATTTTTCATTTAAGGCAATATCATATCCATTTACAACTCTACAACTGTAATGATTAACTTCTGCAAAAGTAACATTATCTTAAAATCAAAAAAATATGCTTAACAATTAGTAATGTAAAATTATCAGTTAAAAAATACTAAATTTAGGTGAAAAAAAAAAAAAAATAATTAATAATTTGATAATGTTATAAATTTTAAATTTAATATTTTTTTTTAAATAATCACTCATAAATTGTATTCGTTAGGATATTTAGTGAATCCTGTAAAATACAAGCTCCCCTATTCTTGAATAGATAAATTAAGTCTTTGCCTTAGCGATTTACGAATTTTCCATTAAAGATTAAAGCAGCAAATGCTTCAAAATATAAGTATTTGCTTATACGTAACCTTGTAAAGTAAGCTAAAATAAAATAAAAATTAATACTATCCAAATTGGGGTTTACTAAATTTTTGTTTTTTTAATCAGAAGATTAAATTATCTATCCTGTTTTGACATCCCAAAGACGGATAGAGTTATCATTACTGCCAGAGGCTAATGTATTTCCGTCAGGAGAGAAACAGACCGAGTTGATATCACTAGCATGACCGTGTAATTTGGCCTTTTATTACCCTGTTTTCAAATCCCATAGAAGGATAGACTTATCACTACTACCAGAAGCTATTATATTTCCATCAGGAGAAAAACAGACTGAGTTAACTTCTCTTACATGACCATCAAATTTGGCTTTTTATTACCCTGTTTTGATATCCCAAAGATAGACAGACGTATCACTACTACCAGAGGCTAATGTATCTCCATCAGGAGAGAAACAGACTGATTTTACCAAATAAAAAGGAGTATCAAATTTGGCTTTTAATTATCCTGTTTTTATATCCCATAATCGGATAGAGAAATCGTCCCCCCAGAAATTTCCACTACCTGAAGCTAATGTATTTCCATCAGGAGAGAAACAGACTGACCAGACAAAGCTAGTATGACCATCCAATTAGGCTTTTTTTTATCCTGTTTTGACATCCCAAAGGCGGATGGATTTATTGTTACTACCAGATGCCAATGTATTTCCATCAGGAGAGAAACAGACTGAGTTAACTTACAAATCAAAATCTTTGAATGTGGTTTTTGTTTTTCCTGTTTTGACATCCCATAAACAGATATCCATATGTTCACCTATAGCTAATGTATTTCCATCAGGAGAGTAACAAACTGAAAAAGCACCAAACTCATACCCATCTTATTTGGTTTATTATTCTCCTGTTTTTGCATCCCAAAGGCAGATAGATTCATCTTTACTAGCAGTAGCTAATGTATTTCCATCAGGAGAGAAACAGACTGACATTACTTATCCCTCATGACCATCTAATTTGGCTTTTTATTATCCTGTTTTGACATCCCATAGACGGATAGACTTATCATCACTACCAGAAGCTAATGTATTTCCATCAGGAGAGAAACAAACTGACCAGATAGTCTTAGTATGATCATCCAAACTAGCCTATTTTTTCTTACTCTTAATATCCCATAAACAGATAGACAAATATTCACTAGCAGCTAATGTATTTCCATCAGGAGAGAAACAGACTGAGCTAGTATGACCATTCAATTAGGCTTTTTATTATCCTGTTTTAAGATCCCATAAACGAATAGATTTATCATCACTACCAGAAGCTAATGTATTTCCATCAGGAGAGAAACATACTGACCAGACACAGCTAGAATGGCCATCCAATTAGGCTTTTTTTTATCCTGTTTTGACATCCCATAGACGGATAGACTTATCTTCACTACCAGAAGCTAATGTATTTCCATCAGGAGAGAAACAAACTGACCAGATAGTCTTAGTATGATCATCCAAACTAGCCTATTTTTTCTTACTCTTAATATCCCATAAACAGATAGACAAATATTCACTAGCAGCTAATGTATTTCCATCAGGAGAGAAACAGACTGAGCTAGTATGACCATTCAATTAGGCTTTTTATTATCCTGTTTTAAGATCCCATAAACGAATAGATTTATCATCACTACCAGAAGCTAATGTATTTCCATCAGGAGAGAAACATACTGACCAGACACAGCTAGAATGGCCATCCAATTAGGCTTTTTTTTATCCTGTTTTGACATCCCATAGACCGATAGAGCAATCACCATCTCCATATGACCTACCACCTCCAGAAGCTAATGTTTCTCCATCAGGAGAGAAACAAATTGATCTTACTTCGTCTTTATGATCATCTAATTTATTTACTTCCGGGATTCTTAAGTTGTTCCATTTACAATTCAATAATATCGCTCTATTTAAGTTCAATCCGCTGATATCTACATTGTCAAATTAGGATCCACTAAAATTACACCTAAAAAAATTCGCTCCCACCAAAGAAGTATTTAAGATTTTTATGTTTTCAAAATTTTTGTTACTAAGGTTTATCTTCATCCAAACTAATAAATGGAATGAATTAGACCCACATTATATTAAAATGTCATCTATAGATGTTAGGTGAACTAGAAATTAGAGAAATTCAATGATTCCTTAATTTTTCTTGATGCTTCTAATAAGACTTAATTTTGATTCTTCATTTTCTTCAGAGGAATAGTCTATCTTATTGAAGTCATGGTCTTTTAATTTTCTTAAGACTTCTATGATTTATTTGATATTATTTCTAACAACAGACATTTTCTACTCTTTATCATCCTGGGTGATATCAACTCCTTTTTGTAAGATACATGATTCTAATTGGCTTTGATTCCTGTTATCTGAAAGATATCCAATGATGTCTTAAACTTTTTCCTTTCTTAATTTTTCTAATATGACACCAAAAATTTGCTCATCTACATCTTTTATTTGACTAAAGATATCAGCTAGAGCTTCCTTCTCTAAAAAATGGGCTTGCATTTTCTTTTTTATTTTTAATAATGAATTTCTATTACTCTAACTTGAAGTTATATACTGCAAAATCGATAAAAGTATCTTGTGCATTTCTGTAAAATAGAAGTTAGGACTTTGTGTATATTTGAAATTGATTGTAATAGATGTTAATAATGCTATTGAGAATTCATTTCAATACCTGTATTACTTGATTTTTTTCATAATATCGAATATGTTTATTATATATGTATATTTTTATTTATACTAAAATTGAGTTCAATTATTGATAGATTCATTCCTCTTGTTTATGATCTTTTCATAATTAATGATTTGATTTTCTTTTTTACATATATTTAGTTAGTTTTCTCGATTTCTCTAATTAATCTATTTTAGAGGGGGTATATTGATAAAAAATTAAATCATTTTAACATATTTCATTATGAATTATAACCATACAAATCATTGTTTCCTTTTTTT